ACGAGAAGTGCGATGTTGTATGGTAGTGAAACATGGGTAGTTAAGGAATTTGACGTACGGAGGCTTGAGGGAGCTGAAATGAGAATGGTGAGGTGGATGTGCAATGTGACACTGAAAGACACGAGCCCTATTTAGAGCTAAGACGGCGGCTGGGTATTGAGAGTATTGGCGAAGTTATGTGTGAAGGCAAACTGAGGTGGTTTATGGCATATGGGAAGCATGTATGGAGGAGACCAGTGCATGAGCCTAAATGCGTAAGCAAAGAGAGAGCCAGAGGGTAGACAAAGAATGACATGGAGAGGGGTTGTAAGAAATGACGTCAGAATTAAGAATCGACAAGAAAGACTGCAAGAGACCATGAATTATGGAAACGTGCTATAAGATGATCACGGTTAACCTATGCAAGTGAGGAAAACAGCTGTGAAACGTTGATGATAATGAAGTTAAGTTAGGTTAGCGTTAGGTTAGATTAGGCTGAGTGAGGTGAGGTTACGTTAGGTTAGCATTGAGGCGCTTAATCATGTTGAAACTAAGATAGAGCTAAAATTCATGTGATTCGTTTAATTTCGAATTTAAAATACCAACAACATTTCTCTTTCTCTCTTGCCAGTTGCCTTTCATATACGTGAGCCCAGCAGGAATGGTGTCACCTTTCACTTCACTGGTCGGCAATCCAGACTTCCCGTCCTTCGTTGTGAACCCCATGCTGGAGATGAGACACCCCTTGACCTTCACCCAGCGAGCGATCAGTACCTTGAGTGGTGCTGTGTTTGATGGCATCTTCAACTTCTACATCGTGAGCAGGTAAATCTTATCATCAATTATTATCAACAAGTAAATAGATATACATTATAGCTAGTCACTATATTTACACATTCAACGCAGGTATATAAATAGACAGTAAAGGCATACAAACAATGTACCGAGATAGAGCTGGTATACAATGTACCGAGGCAGTGCAGGTATATACAGATAATGCTAAACAGTATTATATAATAAAAAATATTATCACTGATGTTTTGTATACACTGTGCTTTATATTATTATACTCGTCAGCTTCTCATACAGGATAGTTGTAGAAACTTTGAGAACAGTTCAGTAGAAGGACCAGAATAACCACTGATAACAAGAGACGCACCACCAGCATAGCTGCTGACTATTTTCTTGTGGTGGAGGACACGGTGGAGTATGGACTGTGTTGGGGGTATGGACACTAGATAATACGATGTGATGCTCTCCAATACGTTGACAAGTTGCCGATCACACACACACACACACACACACACACACACATATACACACACTGTGTAGGTATTGTAGTCATGTCTCTTGAAAATTAAAAAAAAACAAATTATAGAAGCCATGTTTAATATAATATTTATGTATTGCTGTACCCATCTCTTCAATATTGAGGCATTTAATAAACCCGCATCCTTCACAGCGTGGAGGCAGAATGTCGACGGCGCGGGCTGTGTCCAGATGATATGCCCAGCCTCTCGGAAATGCGACGAAACAACAGCCTTTTGATAATAAACAGGTGCGTGGCAGCTGTTACATTAGGCTTCCCTCACTTCTCGTACTCTTAAATTCCAGGTATTTGCATTTTTTAAGTCTTATTAGCAAAACCCCCGGGAGGTTTTCCTCCACAGATGCAGGGGATTAGACCTGTTTTATAATCATCTATAAGTTTAGTTCTATTAGCTGAAGATGTGCCCCCACCCCACAGCTTTCTTAACCTAACGCTAAGCTACCATAACCTAACCTAACACGTAACAATGGTTTTAAATAAGACAAATTTAGATTTAGGCGCGAAATAGGTAAACACTGATTTGGAAATAGTGTAATGGATGAATGGAACAAGTTACCAAACATCACCATTAACTCGAATACGCTGGATAGCTTCAAACATATGTCGGAGGGGACATAATTATTAGCAATAGGGGTTGGGTGTAAATGGGACTACCCAGTATGGGCCAATAGGCCCGTTGCAGTTTTCTTCAGTCTTATGTTCTTATGTACTTTAACCTAATCAAACACTAAGCCAAACTAACCTAACTTAATGCTAATCTACCTAAACGGCTAAACCTAATAGTTCAGGACTATTTCCTAAATCAACATACAGACGAACACCTCTCAGGGTAATAATATACTAGATTTAGTTCTGTCAAACAGAGAAAACTTCATTAGTAATGTCGAGGTAGGGAACGAATTCGGTAACAGCAATCACAAAGAAGTGAGATTTAAGTAGAACTTTTTGTGAGTCGAGAAGAAAATTCCACTAAATTCCCTGATTTCAGATGGGCAAACTTTGATAGGTTGAAAAGGCAGCTGAGACAAGTTGTAATATGTTTGCGGGTAATTACATGATCAGACACAATGTACTCACAGAGGGCGACCTCACTTTACCTGGTGACCTGACAACGAAAAGCCCACAAAATATGACCGCTGAGGATGACCTGATCACGAGATCTGAGGTTGACGAGTTCAACAACAATTTAAATAATGAGTAAATTTTTTTTTACGGGGATTAGCCCACCCGGGCACAGGTCACTGACCCACACCGGGGACTGGGGGTCGAAAATACAACAACAACAACAACAACAACAACAACAACAATAATAATAATAATAATAATAATAATAATAATAATAATAATAATAATAATAACAATAATAATAATAATAATAATAATAATAATAATAATAATAATAATAATAATAACAATAACAATAATAATAATAATAATAATAATAATAATTCATAGTAAATACAATTATAATATAAAATACAAAATTGAAAATAAAAATAAAATAAAAATTATAAAGCAGGTTGACAATCCCTTATCCGAAATCCTTGGGGCCAAAGGCATTTCGGATTTCGGATTTCGGAATTTTTCGGTTTTCAGAATTTTTTTTTTGTGTGTATTAGCCCACCCAGGCACAAGTCACTGACCCGCATTGGGGCCTGGGAGGCGAAAATATAATAATAATTATAATAATAATATTAATAATTCATAGATCTAGGTCGTGTTTCTCACTTTTTATCTTTTTTCATTCTTGTATTTCTTTAAGTATTATTATTATTAATTTTATTATTATATTTTATTATTATTACAGTATTATTGTTATTATTATTTTATTTTGGTGTATTTTTTATTAAAATTTTTATTTACAATGAATATTATTATTATTATAATTAGTATTACTATTACATTTTCGACCCCCAGGCCCCGATGTGGGTCAGTGATCTATGCCTGGGTGAGTAAATCCCTGTTTAGAAAAAAAAAAAATGCTCCACAAAAAACTTTCGGTTTTCAGAGCTTTTCGGTTTTCGGAATTTCTTATAAAGTGTTGTCAACCTGTAATAACAAAGAACCACAAAGAAATATAAAAATTAAAAAAAATCAAAATTGAGAAATATTATATGTATGTTGTGTTATCAATAGTAAGAGAAACAATTGAGACCCTGCAATTGTGTGTAAATGAAGCAGAAAGTCAGATCAGCATCCTGGGACTTGGTCACAATTTTCGTGTTGCCATATGGCAGCAGGGTCTACCATTAGACCCTACACTTGACTTACGGAGTACACTTGTCTCGCAGGGGTATAGACGTTGTCTGCATCCCTGGAGAGTGAAATTGTCACTCTAAAGGGGGGGGTTTCGCCAGTAGAGAGAGGTCGGGGTAAGTGGGAATAAAAAAAACAAGCATGTCCTGGGGAGTAAAAGTGGTTACTCAGGACAAGGGGTAAAACAGGACCAGGGAAGGGTAGGTTTAAATGTATACTATACAAACGGTAGGAGCGTTAGAAATAAAATAGACTTGTTGAGAGCGGTTGTATGTACCGAGAATATAGACATCATAGCAATCACCTAAACTTGGATGAACCTGGCTAGCAAGAACTTTTTATCAGAGTACCACATAGAAGGGTATAACCTTTTCACAATAACAGGGAAGGTAGGAAGTGTAGGTTATGTATCTAAGCTACTGTGCCGAGTAGCATCTATGTATGTAATTATGTGGTAACAACGCACGTGTTATGTGGCAACATTGCCCCGAGGCTGCCATATGGCAATGCAGCTTTAGTCTGACTCCGTGGGTCGTGCATAGCACTTCATGCGCACGCTGCTCACTACTTGTATCTCTCCTATCCGTTAATAAATGGACTTCAGTGTTACCCGGTGTTTCCCTACCCATCACTGCCTTCTTCAGGGAACACTTGGAACCTTCATGGCGCAGTGAGTAGGATTTGTGGACTTACAAGTGTTGTGAACAATGCCGACAGTTACGTCTGCCGGTGATGTGCGTGTCGACTCTAGTGTTTTGTGTTGTGTTGTGTTTCGCCACGACGTGCAGTGTTGCGCCATCACAGTGTGTTTTTTTGTGACGGTGGCAGTGTCAGTGTATTAGTGTGTCTAGAGCTGAGAGTTGAGCATTGGCCTGTTTTTTGTGGTACCCACGGAGCACGCAGGTGTACACCCTTCTCGTGTGACATCCGGGGAGACACTAACGTTCTTACCTCCGCGGCGGCTCTACCCGGTTGGCGCATTAAGGCCACTATGATTTGCTCTCTCAGACACACACACACGCACGCACTCACGGACAGAATAGTGGACTCTGCGCTGTTTACGTCATATATATGTGGTTTGAGCTGATGAGGCGCCACTTTATATACTAAACAGCACAGTTCAAGCATACTAAGATGGGCAGTCAGAAGGGACAACGTCAAGATGGGAGACACGACTCCCCACCTTCCCCTCTACCGGGCGCAGATGGAGCTTTTGCGCCCACTGCCTCTCATCCTCCACCTCCAGCCACGGACATTGCCACAATTCTGAGGTGGATGGACGACAGGGACGAGAGACGCAGAGAGATGGAACTTCAGAGGGAGGAGACACGAAGAGAGGAGGAAAAGTCGCGTTTTGATGCACTATTGGCGACCCTGGCGCTAACCCACCCTCCCTCACTCGCAGGTTTCGCGCACCAAGGCGCCAATATCCTCCCTCCTTCACCACACCAGCATCCTCCAGTCACTCTTGCTACTCCAACAGCTCCCAAGGCATCTGTTCAACCCCCACCCGCCCTCTCACCAGACGTCACGTTTCAGCTTTTTCGTGAGTGGAGGCGGCGGTGGACAGATTACTCCACGATGGTGGACCTTGACAGCATGCCTCCAAACAAACAGCTCATCCAACTGCGGATGTGTTTGTCGCTGGAGACCCAGAGAGTTTTGGAGCACACGTTGCAAGTGCCTCCCGATTCTACATCTTCAGTGACGGATGTGCTCGACCTTTTACAGGAGCACGTTAAAGGTCGGAACAACGAGGCTTTGCGTCGCCGTGCCTTCACCAGCTGCAAGCAGGCGGAGAACGAATCCTTTGACGACTTTTTTGTACGCTTGAAGAGTTTGTCAGAGGAGATCGAAGTCTGCAAGGCGCACAGCCCGGAATGTGAGGAAGCCTGGATCAAGCACGGGATCTTGACAGGTGTCAGGCACGAAGAGTTGATGCAGCGACTCATCCCCCTGAACGCTTCCTCCACACTCCAGGTGGTAGTGACTGAATGTCAGTCATACGAGGCCACCAAGTCCGCCACCTCTGCCTTACGGGCCCCTCCTGCTGTGAGAGCAATCTCTCAGTACAAGAAGGGTAAGAAGGCGGCCAACAACACGAAGGCTGCCACACGTTCTTCCACGCCTCCGCCTAGTGCTTCCTGTGGCAGCTGTGGAAAGCAGCATGGCCCCAAGACTTGCCCGGCCGCCGACGCACTGTGTCGTGGATGTGACGGTAAGGGCCACTGGTCTAACACAGACAGGTGCCCTGCACGAGGCCACAAGTGTCAGTCCTGTGGTCGCTATGGACACTACGACAAGTGCTGCCGCCAACCCAAGCCCAAAAGCCCGAGACGAGGAGGAAAGCAGCGCACTTCCCTCGGGGTGGTTCGCACGCAGCACCCTTCAGATGGCCCACGCAGCCTGAAGCAGCAGCGGAGTCATATTAGGAGCGTGGAATCGACCACATGCCCCAGGGCTACCCCTTCGCCTACCATCCGCGTCGCCGTCACGCACGGTGATGTGTCGGGTCACATCGACGTGATACCGGACACCAGCAGTGATACTACGATGATAGGCCTGAAGCACCTCCAGAAACCAAACGCGACCTGGGACCACCGCCGCAGCTGCTGTACTACAATGCGGATGGTTCCCAGATGCCGGACGCTGTAGGCTCCTTTCAAGCGGAGATCACCTACGGCGACAGGTCGTGTCACGGATGGATGGACGTGCAGCCTACTCTCGCTACACCCTTGTTGTCGTGGGAGCACTGCAAGGAGTTAGGCGTGGTGCCCAGAGACTTTCCTGAGCAGATCCCAGCTGCTCGGTACACCACCAGCAGGGTGCGTGAATCAACGAGCGACGCGCCTGGCGCTGCCGCACGGAGTGGCCCAGAACCCGCGTCCACTCCCGCCCCGCCCCCACCCAAGTCACGGCTGCTTCCTCTCCACAGCGAGACGTCTCCTTCAGCCGCAAGGGCCTACTTCCTGAAGGAGTACTCGGATGTGCTGGTGACGAAGGAGGCCCTACGGACCGCGCCACTGAAGGCTATGG